GGGTATCTGGTTGCAATGCAGGGATGGTCTGGCTTCCAACCGGTCTGACTCTAGCTCCAGCCTGCCCCCTCGACTCAGCCCCCAAGAAGGCATTTGGGGTGCTCCACCCGGGAAGGAGGAGGCGTGTTCTAAGGGCTGCGGGGGCGTGGGGGAGGGGTTGGGCAGTGTGTGTGGGGGCTGTGTTGAGGTCTTCCTAGCTAGTCTTGCTCTAATGTTATAAATGAATGCGGGTATGAGACAATGCATCTGTTCTTGGAAGAGCTGCTCTCCCACCAGCTCTGGGATCACGGGCAAATCCTTTCATTCCCTGGATCTCAGCTTCCCCATTTAAAAAAAAAAAATAAATTCAGACGAGCTGTCGGTCATTCTTTCAGTTTTATATTTGGCTGGAGTCAGGCAGGGCAAACCCATGGGTCACACAAGGGGAAGGGAGGTCTTTGGTTTGGCAAATTGGGGGGACGGTCACAGAGCTGATTTGGTTCAGTTTCTTAAAGAATCTGAAATCAGGTGAGGAGTTACTGCTCGTGGTGCTCCTACCTACTTGGTGTGCCGTTGGGCACGTTGCCCCGCCGCCACGGCCTTTCTCTGGACCAGTCCATTTTCCACATTGCTGCCCCATAGCTTTCTAAAGCACAGACACGGGGCACCTGGGTGGCTCAGTGGGTTAAGCCTCTGCCTTCGGCTCAGGTCATGGTCTCAGGATCCTGGGATCCAGCCCCGCATCAGGCTCTCTGTTCAGCAGGGACCCTGCTTCTCCCTCTCTCTCTGCCTGCCTCGCTGCCTACTTGGGATCTCTCTCTCTCTCTGGGTCAAATAAATATATAAAATCTTAAAAAAAAATAAAGCACAGACACATGGGAGCTTCTGTGTCGTGTACTCCAGAGGCTCTCTGCTGCCCATTCCACTCAATTCCCAGCAAACGGTAACCAGCCCCTTCCTGGTCTCCTCTTTCTCAGCCTTGCTTCCAGCAGCTTCTCTCATAGACCCTGCTCCAGGCCTGATAAACCTTTTGTCTCTCAATGGCAGCGCACCTGGCCACGTCATCCCTTGCTCCTGGTCTAGCTGTCCAGAGAGCTCATTCCCTAAAGAACCACCCCAGGGGCGCCTGCGTGGCTCAGTCGTTTGAGGGTCTGGCTCTTGGTTTGGGCTCAGGTCATGATCTCAGGGTCCTGGAATTGAGCCCCAAGTCGGGCTCCACACCAGCGTGGCAGCGTCTGCTTGAGATTCTCTCTCCCTCCGCCCCTCCCTCCACTCACACGCTCTGTCACTCACAAATAAATCAAGCTTAAAAAAAAAAAATAAATAAAAGAACCAGCTCAAACGTAGTCTAGTGCTCCTCAACCTCTGGGCCACTCTCTCAGCACTTTGTTCCTATATCCTGGTGGCAGTTTCAGAGAGCCTGCCCATGTCTCCTTATAAGTGAGGAGCCAGGAACTGTATTCTAGACAGCTTCGTGCCTGACACGCCTGGCCCTCTGGGTGGGATTCCCGAAATGGAGCTGGAAATACCCAGAGGTAACTGCATCACTATAGGGGGGAACCAAGGCCCCACCCGTAGCTTCCCACATGTAAGCTGACTTAAAACACTTAAAAAAAAAATGACTTCAGAGGGTCAAAAGTAAAATACTGAGGCTGAGGGCTTATTTAAATAACGGTTTTAAAAATACCCCGGAGGGGAAAACTTATCTCGGCATTTCGCAATGCTAGTGCGCAAAATAACAGGGTTACATCCCCATATGCCTCCACCCCAGTCTTCCGGGTAACAAGCGAGAAATGCTAACAAGGGGTGAAATCCAGCACCCTCCCGCTTATTAATATGTAAAAAGGCTTAAGTCACATCTGGGCAAGGATCTATTTTTAGTGGACCCTACATACTAAAATCCTAGCCTTGATCTCTTAAACTATCAAACCTGCCATAAATGTTTGATGATGAACAAGCCCATAAAAAGAAAATGCGGAAAATGAATGGAGGGAGTCAGTGCGTGCCCTGCCTTTTAATTACCGGTGGCTTCTGCTACAACCCAGCTCCAGGCTGGGGTACAAGGAGAGAAAACACATCATAATTTGGGTTGGGAGTTGAGGGATGGGCAGGGTGTGAGTACTGACCCCACTGTTGTTTATGCTCTGGAAACCAGACAGCGATGGGGAAAGAGTAGAATCCAACCCCAGGAGGGTGGGATTCAAAAAGGAAAAAACTAAGAGATAAATAAAAGCATTCAGGACACAAAGGGTAATGTAGAACAGTCTTATTTTATTACTTTTAAGTAATAAAGAGCCTTTTCCTTGCTTTTTTTTTTGTCTTTTTTCCCTTTTTTTTTTCTTTTCTTTTTTTTCTGTTTTACAACATACATTAAGTCATGAATCAGATGTTACGGGATGTGGAGATGGAAGGAAAGTTGGTGACATCACAATATTTTTTACAACTTTACAACAAATAGAAATCTTGAGTTTGTTGCATCTACCAGTGTCTAGCAAGGGTGGAAAGCAAAGGCACACTCAGGTTTATGGACCCTCCCCCCACACGCAGTGGGGGTAAAAAAAAAAAAAAAAAAAGAAAAGGGAAAAAAATACTTAAATGTAAAAGACCAGCTCAATACATATGGGCATTTTAGGGAGAACACCACAAGTGATAAGTTGTTGGGAGGTAGGGACGCAGGATGAAAGTTTTGACACAGGTCTCCGTAACACAGCTGAGGCAATGAGGCCCACCCATGGGGAAACAAGAGTGGGTGCTGCCTGGTCAATACTCTTGGGGGACAAGCTTCGGGGAGAGGGGAAAAAACGATCTGTTTCTAGAAAAGACTTCTTCGCGGTTTCAGGGGTACAGAGTTCAGGGGGATGTGAACATTGATTCCGCTAACAAAAGAGAAGAGAAGCAAAACAACACAAAACAACAGAAACCTACCCTGAAGAGCAGCAAAGCTGCGAGGGAGGTTTGCAGGAACGTGAAGCTAATACGGGAGTCCTCGAGACACACCTAGACTCACTCTGATTACAGAGGTACCACTTTTGCACCAGCCAACTCAAAATTGTCCCCAGTCGTCTTTCTTTAAAAGATTTTTTTTCCTTTTTTTTCTTTTTAAAGACAAGACCAAACTCAGAAGATCCAACTGGAAATAAAAAGAGACAAAGAGGCCACCAAATATACTGTTTAAGTGTTTAAAAACACAACAACCCCAAACAATGCTCAATGTTTACATTCTGTTGACAGTTCTTTTGTTCATGATAGAGTAAACAATAGTCCCCTCTGTGTCCTCGAGCTAATGAGAACCAAGGGGGGGCAAACACCCCCCCACCCCGCCCCTGTACAAACAATAACAACAAATGGATAAAGACGTTTGTTAAAAAATTTAAAAAATCCTCTGCCCCAGTCAATGTTTTTGCAGCATCCATTGTGGTTGGCTTTGTACTTGGAGTTACTGTTCCATCACAGCATGGACCAACCCGCCTGCATCTACTTCCATGTCATTTCTTTGTGTGCTGAGCCCATGGCTTGGAGACACCTCCCAGGTGACCAGCAACTGCGCACATGGCATGTTCTCCAGCCAGTGGACCCAGCAGAAATGAGGGCTGGGACGTTAGTCCCTTCTCCGCTGGTCAATAAGGATATCACCGTGTTGAAATGATCTGAGAATACCGGGGAAGCAGGGAGCTCTGGAGGGAGACAGGGTATTGCCACCCACCACACTGGTGTCCATGCTGGGTAGCACGGCCAGAGGGTGGTTGGAGTTGGCACTAGAAGGAAGTGTGAATTGGAAGGTGTGCTGCCGCCTAGCTCTCCCAGGGGGCAGGCTTCTAACCATCACCACTGCATTCTTCTTCCATCTGCTAGATGCTAATCTTTCCGGAGGGCTGGAGTGGGGGTGGGGGGAGGGAGGGTCAAATAAATATCTGCATTTATTTCAAAAGGCGGGAGGAAAGTTTATCATAACGACAGTTTACAAGTGTACACAACTCAGGTGTAAGGCACAAATTTACATGTGGAAAAGAGGCTATTCACAGATGTAACCCCACGAAAAACCCGTGTGAGCAAACCATTAATTTATGCAAGGTAGCAGCCAGCATATTAATTAGTTCACGCCTTTAGTGGATTTTGTTTGCTGTCTCACATGCAAGGTGAAATGAGATGGGTATCACAAGCTGGTGCCTTCACAGAAAGTAAGAACCACTGACAAAGCCATGTTGGCAGCAACGGGACGCAGGACGTGTCATTCTAAAAGTTCCTCTCCCGGATGCTTTGTAAGTTAGGATCTGGAAGGACTTTTAAACTAATTAATTTTTTGCATGTTATGGGCCAGAGACCTGACCAGCAAATTAATGGGTTGATTCAAATAAATATTCCCCTCTCAACTTTTTCCTTTAGCTAGAGATCAGACAGTCCAAACACAAAGCTCAGAATTGCAGCTCCAACTTATTTACTCAGTGAATTTATTGTAAAAATAAACTCAATTATTCCAGTTAATGGATTTCCCGTTAAATAGTTTAACTTTCAAGGGGCCTTTCTGAAGCGCTGTTCATAGGATGGTAGGTGGAAGAGTTCTTTCCTTAAGGACAAAAAGGGTGAACAATAAATAAAGAGTTACTTGCGTTAACGGTCACGTTATTTCATTAAAAGAGAGGAGCAGAAATCTATGACATAGTTGCCCAACATGGCATTCATCTGCTAATAACAGAAAGCTGTAACACTGGTGGGCATTTCACAGTATCTGCGCATAGTAAACTTCTGCCATTGTTAAAGTCTGAGTTAGAATTATCAAGGAATTCTTTATTTTTTAATTTTTTTTTGTCTTTTTAATTTTCATGATTTTTAAAAATGTGTATTTTGTGTTTTGCCGGTGGAACGCCAGCCCTGGTGGGCAGCGCCCCATGCAGTCCTGGACAACAGGTTGCAGTCATTGTTCCCCTGCAGGTGCGCACGGTGTGGGTGTGGGCGTGGGTTGTGGGGTGTGGGTGTGGGTGTGGGTGTGGGTGTGGGTGTGGGTGTGGGTGGGTGCACGTGCGCAGGTGCGCGCGCATGCGTGTGAAGGTTGGGGGGGGTGGGTATGTGCTTTTGGCTCATGTTTGTGATGAGAATTCAAGTCTCTCGTGAGTCCGACCTGCTGCACGGCGTGAGGGGACAGTGAAGTCAGAGAATGGAGGTGAGTCCCGCGTCGCAAACCTTCACCCCACCACGTGGCCCAATTTTCCAGAGTCCCCCGGCGCCCCCGAGGGGGGGACCCAGCGTCCTCCGCGCCGCCGCGGCCATCTTGGTCTGGTGGGTACTCAGGCAGTGGAGGGCCTCGCCGAGCTGGGCGCGCGCCTGGCCGTTCCTGCTGGTTCGACACCTGACCCCTCCCCCTGGGATTATGTACACGCGTCATTGGGCTTCATGGATGTGGAAAGGGGGGCGAAGGAGGGTTTGGGGGGCACGTCCGGCTTTAGCGAGGGGGTGCGCTTCAGCCCCGACCTCGTCAGCGAGTTGTAGGCGTTGAGGCTGGGCTGCTGCGAAATAGTCACGGCCTGGCCGGAGGGCTGCGCGCCGTGCACCTGGATCGAGTCCACCCTCTGCGGGGCGGGGGGCGGGTTGTCTCCCCGGCCAAAGCTCTGGTTTCTGGACAGGTGGGAGGAATTGGAGCAGTTAGTATTGTTTCTTTTGAGAGTGGTGGCCTGGTGGCTTCTCGTGAGCGAGTTCGTGGTGGGGTAGCTCCTCTTATAGTCAAGGCCGTAGGAGGAGGAGTGGTGCATTTCCAGCCGCTTGCTCAGGCCGTTCTGAGACAGGGAGGCTCCCGGAGGGCCCAGGGAGGCCTCCCGCTGGGGGACTTTGGGGGGCAGGCTGTCCAGGTTCTCCACCAGGTTCACCCCGTGGTTGGGGCTCTTGCTGCTGAGATGTTCCTTGATGGTCTTATACTCCAGGGTGGCGGCCTGGTCCTCCAGCGCCATCTGGGCCACCTCGCTCATTTTGGGCTGGTCCACGTACTCGTGCTGGTAGCCCTGCTGCGTGATGGGCAGGACCACCACGCTGGGGATGTGGCTGGGGGAGGCCCGCAGGGGCAGGTCCGTGGGGATCACAGGGGAGCCCATGGGGGGCATGTCCTTGGTGCAGGCGTTGATGAGGTTCTGGTTCCTCTCCCACTCGCGGCTGCCGCGGCTGGGCTTCCGCTTCTGCTGCAGCGTCGGGGTGGACTCTGGGGTGGGCAAGGCCGCCAGGTCTAAGTGGTGCTGATCAGCCTTGATGAGCATCTTGGCCGTGTTGCCGGGCGTGGCGAGCTTGCCGTTGTGCATGAGTGGCGTGAGGATGGCCTCCGGCTTTGGATCTTTGGACTGGGTGTCCCCAAAGAGGCCGCTGAGCTTGGTGACGCTGCTCATGGAGCCCCGGCGCGAGTGGGTGAGCTCCTTCTCCTTGCGCTGCACGGCGGACACGTCCTTGCGCCTGTGGTCGCAGACGCAATAGACGATGATGCCGGAGAAGACAGCCCCCATGACAAAAGCCAGAATGACCGCAATGGCCAAGAGGGTGACAGGGACGAGCTGGTCATGGCCTTTGAGGTAACTTTCCCGAATCACTCCTGCAATAGACATCGTATTGGGTGTTAAGAAGTGAAAGCACGCCGCGGGGCTTTATTTTTGTTTGGCGTTCACCCCGTTAATTAATAACAGTAATAAGTGACAATAGCACCTCTGCCTAACTTGTCTTGGGGCGCAGCTTGCCAGACATTAACTAATTAATCCTCTCCAAGTCGCCTCCCCTCCCCATGACATATGTAAATAGACTTCATTTGTTACCTTCTTTGTGTTCTGAAAAAGTGCCTTTTTTCCTACCCCCTCTCTCAAGCATATGCTCTTTCTACTTGCTTCAGTCTGTGGAATAGGACAGTTTTCATTTACAAAATTTGTTCCCGCCCCCCCAATCTTTTCTCAGTCTTCCCCTCAGGAAATTGGGATAAGGGAGATACGTTGAGTCTGGGTGGTGGGTGGGCAAGAGGCAACAATTTTATGCCTGTTAAATGAACAAATGGCCCAGCGCTCCAGGGTTCCAGGGTCTTCTCTGCTGACCTTTTTGTGGGCACCATGGCCTCTATCTGGAGAAAAAGCTATGTGTGCATTTCAGGCAACTGGAAGAAAGACCTTGTGTGTCATTTATGGTGAAAAAAACAGCTAAAGCTCACATTACAAATGTTTATGCCGATTTTGTATCATCCTTCAAAAAACAAAAACCAACAAAAACCCATGCACACTCAATTTCAGGTAAATATGCTGAATATTTGAACGGAGCTCTTCCCTTACTTGAACTGAAAGAATATTTAGAAAAAAAAAAAAAAAAGACCATTTGGGGCCCTGGAGTGGGTTTGAGAAGTGTCAGGTCTCATTATTACGGCTAGAATTTGCTGTCACGGTGAGATTCTTCAGCAGAGCTAATCTCTTCAATTTAATAAAAATTATGTGACTACACCCGTCAATAATCTTACACTACATTAACCCAGAGGCTGTGTTTCTGAAGAAAGTTGCCTTCCCTGTTCCTGCTTAATCAGCCACCAAGCTGAGAGACTATAATCAAATGCAAACACTGAGGCTTTTATTTTTTTAATACCAAGTGAGAATACACATCACAATTGTCAGATCTTAAGTGCTTGATGCGGTAGCTAAAAAATAAAATCTCAAATACCTCAATTCCTGCCTCTGGAGAGTGGAAGAACATGAATACATTAGAGGCACTGCATGGGCTGAGGAAATGTAAACATTGTTCCTATTATGGAAATGATAGTAAGACAGAAAATGTACCTTCTCTGGTCTCAGGAGACACATTTTTCATCTGCTAAATCAACTCTTTCTGGAATATGTTTAATGTATTTTACTGGCAGATATCACTGGCACAGAATTAGAATGAAATGAAATAAAAACCTCTACCCCTTCCTAAACCCACAACACGCAGCCCTTCAACTTCTGCTGAAATGCTTCCTATGTCACAGCTGAGACCTTGAAGAAATGCAGCTTTGTCATAGGGTCTTTCTGCTAAAATATTTTGATTAGGGAAGCAATGGTTTTAAATCTCAGGTACCTTTGCCTGTGGGAGAGAACATTCTCTTTCTCTTTTCTTTCTAAACATTTCCTCCTCCCCTCTCTTGTGACATCACAGTTGGTTGCTGTGGAAATGATTGTCCTATGACAAAGGATTGCGACTTCAGGGGGAATAAATAGAAGCAGCGAACATCTCTTGAGAAACGAAGATTCTGTGATTAAACAATTGCCCTTGGTAATGAAGGGCAGGGCAGGGGATTCACCCCCCAGGGGGAAAGAGAGTATAAGATGGCAAGACCTTGAATAATTTCCAAATGTGACACTTCTTAAATATTTCCAAATTTATCTTCGTGAACTTTTAAGGGGTAGAAATGGAGAAGCAAAAAAACAGCAGGAAATTAGGCTATAACTCACACCTTTTATAACCCGGAGCTTCTCAAACTGTGAGGTGTCTTGCTTTCAAATACCTTTAAATACCTAGTCACCAAGAAACTGTGCTAATGGAAATTTCTTCCTTAACTTTGCATTTCCTTGTTGTAATGCTAAAATAGCAACTGATTTTCTTTCAGTTTTGATTGTTTGGGGTTCTGTTGAAGATCATTTTTAACCGCCTATGTACAATGGCACAAAAATGTACACCTGTGAATAAAATGGGTTTAATTTCTGTCATTGACTTGGAGATCTCTGGAATCTAACCACAGGGTAGACCTCACCGATGAGGGTGTGGGGGGTACTAGGTAGGTTTTTCATGGCAGTGGGCATTTCAGATATCCCCTCCTGGCAATCACCTTCATGGGGACTGTGTCTTCCCAATAAGGGCATCCTTAGAATAACAGGTACCTATAGTTGACTTTGGTATTTTATGATTTAAATTCACCTCTCAGCTTAAGAGGAACAGAGAGAGAAGGCAGCTCAAGTAGTTCATTTGTCTCATTCATCATTTAATTGGGAAAACTGCAAAAATTTCAAGTTTATTCATGGCTTTTTTTTAACTTAAAGCTATTCTTCTTTCATGTCTGAAGGTCCTTGACTATCTTAATCTCATGGAAACCACTTGCTTTTTCACTGGGTCAGACTTTTCTAGCGGATGACATTTAAGTTCAGGTTTTTGGCTGTTAACAAATCAAGTAGGATATGACCTTTGAGAAAAATGGTGTCTCAAACAGTCCCCCCACCCCCATCTCATTTTGTTATGTAAATAGTGCCCTTAAAAGCCTGCATCTCTTCACTTTTGAGATATCTACCCTAAAGCAGGTGGCCTTCCCTCATTTGCTTGTGCAAATTCAGAAATCCCATGTACAGAGTTAGAAACAGATCAGAGATGAAGTTGAAAGCACAAGTCAGGAAGATAAGTTTTAAGTCTTTTTTGGAAAATGCCTTCCAAACTTAAAGCTTTCTGCTTAAACCAGGAAAAGAGCAAAGGGGCATTCATAGAAATGATTAAATCAACTTTGTGACATTGTCCACTGTGAAGGATTGAACATAGTGGTCTTGTCAGAGACGTGGGGGGGGGGGGGGGGGGATGGTACAAGCAACACCAGAGATCTCCGCAGGCCTGGGGTCTTTGGCGCCCATGTACTGCTGGGTGACCTTTTGGCCCATCTCTGGGCCTCAGTTTTTTTCATTTGTGTTGTGGGGTTAATACACTTAATGCCTTACTGGGTTCTTGCAAGAATCAAATGAAATAACGAATAAGAAAGAACTTAAATGCTATAGTTTGCTGGACAAATCTGTAGGTCAAAAGAAGCCACAAATGAGACCTGGTGGGCCAGCAGCTCATGGAGGGCTTAAGAGTTAACAGCTACAACCTCTCCATTTGGTTGCATTTGCTATGGGTCTCCCCGGGGAGGGGGGACAGACCTGTTCTTCTCAGCTCCAAACCTTGTGCCGTCCAAATGTTGCCAAAGGGATTATGTTGAGGCAACATAAGGGAACATGTACCTCTGTCTCAGGACTGCCCATAGGTCCTGCATTTTGAAATAAGTAAAACAACAAAAGCAGGAAATGTTGAGCAGAATGCAGCAATTCTAGTTAGACGCCTACTGGAATAATAATCCTGCATCTGGCGCCTTGAGGGTGGGGCCTTTTTTTTTTTTTTTAATGCATTTCTAACCCTCACTGTCACCAGGGCTCCTTAGTTGGGCACTTAATAAATGATTATTGGATAAATCGTTTTGCAGTACATTGAACAGACACTTTCAAATGGGCCTCTAAACTTGATGGGACATTTTTGCAGTGACCATAACCTTCTGAATTTGCAGAACCAAATTATATCTCCATTCACAGAACAGAATATAGTCATACTAACATCCATTAAACAAAAGAAATCTATAAAGGCGCTCAGTATATGTTCAAAATAATAATATAAACTATTTCAAAAGTGAGAAATTCATTCTGAGATAATTCCAAAAGAGACGATGAGGGTAGATGGGTTACTTGTAACTGGCTCGTCTGGTTGAGTTGAGTAATTGAATAATTTGAAATAAATACAGCTCTGCCAAGGGAGCTGGTTGAACGTCATCAGTGCTTCACAAGCTGCATGGAAACTCTGGCAGGTGGAGGGGCTTTTGTAGGGGGGGAAAGTCCCTCTCCAGGTATCTCCCCTGCCCCCCACCTCCCAGGGAGACCAGTAAGACCTGGTGTCTCTATCCTGGAGCACTGAAGTGCCTTCCTTTACCAACCCCTGGACCTTCAGCTCTCCGCAGTTGAAAATGGGGCATTATAATGAAAACAGTATCTGAAACATCCTTTGCATTGATTCATTAACCACCAGCTATTTCTCACCAGTCATGAGGTGCTAAATGGTTATTCTTTCCGCCTTCCTATTGCAGGAAGCAAGGCACACAATGGCTTAGAGATTTCTCTGAAATCATGCCTTAAATTGGCAGAACTGAGAAAGAAGAGAATCTTCACTTTTTTTCTCCCCCTGAGGTGACAGAGTTTTCAGATGCAGGAGGGATGCTAGAGGGAGGTCTCAGAGGGACAATGGGCTGCTCTGTAGAGGCTGAAGCAATGAAAAGGTTATGAAAAACCCCACCCTCCAGGCCCCACAAAATGTAATTAAAATAAGAACAGTTACAAACCGTAAAAGAGGAAGTCCAACACAGTTGTGAATTTTCCTATGATGATCATGGGAAGGCATTTTGAGATTTCAAACATCAGATTCTTTATTTAGAAAACAGTGAATGGTTTCTGGTAGCCCTGCTGTGGGATTGTCTGCAATTGTCTGGTCTGCATGGCATGTCCCAGAAAAGATCTCCTAACTCAGGGTTGAACTGGGATGTTCTTGGTTCCTTTACTCTCATTGTCATGGCATAACAAGGGTTGAGCTTCAATCTTTGTGGGTGCCTTCGGCAAACATTTCCTGAGCACAGACCAAAGCACTGTGCCAGGTGTTGGAGACAAAGTGAAGGAGGCACAAACCCTGCCATCCACTAGGGAGAAGGCCTGTGCTAATGCATGAACTGCTTCCAGAGTGGGGAAGCGCCGTGAGATGCATTGCTTCTAGCTCAGGGTAGGCTGTCTGCTGAAGCAGAACAATAAGAGCTAG